TGAAGCTGTTCTATCACTCTCTTCAGTGCCAGACTCCACAGACCCTTTTAGGGCAGACGTTACAATGATGTCAGTTTGTTAGCTGGAGGCAAAACACGGCTCTCCACCACAGGGCTGTAGGCTACATAGCAGTCTTAAATGTTGTTTTGTTATGTTATATGGAGCCAGAATAGAAGGAGTCATGGCTCAAAACCAGCTGCCACTGCCCATCAACAAAAACAAAGACAACTATGGTTAAGGCCATGTTTACACGAAAACGACCCACTGAAAACAGAATCATTTCTCATTTTCGTTTTGAAAAAGTTCCGTGTTTAGACGACAATGTTTTGATAACAATCGCTGTGCACACGGATCCGCCAAAATGTAAAGTGTAGTATACATGCCAGGCCAGTAGTTGACGGTGTGACTTTGCAATGAAACAACACGCACCTGGGCACGTACACTTCCTTCTACAGAGCGGTGATGTATAAACAAACAAAATGGCAACCGCACGTTTGTCTGGGTGGACGACGAGGTGGAGTTGCTATAGTAAATCTACACTTTGATGGGGAAACCTTGATACATTCAATAGGGTAAGCAGCAAAAACCGAGCTTGGGAGTCCGCCATTGTTGTTGGTCAACTTTCTCGTGCATGCCTAGTCACTGGAAGCGTAATGCGCATGTGCAAAGAGTCTCCTTTTTCAGAGGAACTGCTTATAGCAAGTTTACATGACAACGGAGACGGTGCTGTTTCCAAAAAATTGCACTCTGAAACCCGTTTTCAAAACGTTGCGTTTTCAGGCACTCAAAACACTGCTGTCTGTAAACGATCGGCCAAAATGCAACTTAAGTTTACCATTTTCAGTTGAAATCGTTGTCGTATAAATGGGACCTAAATGTGATAAGATGAAAGAACTGGACGGAGGCCATCATCAAAAATGCTCACATGTGCAGCGCACACTTCATATCAGGTTAGGGAAAAAGTATTTCCTGTTGTAGGGATGAATAACGTTATGTGTATTAAGGGTTATCATGTCCACCTCATCAGAAACTGGCGAGGTATTAGGAATGTTGGATTTCTCCGTAACGCTAACTTTTTATCACATTAGCCAGCGTTAGCTTCGATAGCAAAACAAACTGGAGGAAACGGTTCAAGTGTCGTCCTCCTTTGTAAGATTGGCTTCCTGTGACATCATCCATCCGCTGAGTGAGAGCATACGGGTCGGCCAGTCTGGTCCCGTTGGTCAGTGTTTACTTATTCAAGTAACACTCGCGTCCAGTGAGTGACCTGACATGGTGTTTTCATAAATTCAGTCTGACGCTCTACACTATAATTATGCGGTATATATTAAACTATATGGACCTTGAACTAATGACTGAGGAGAAATCTGGACCCCATGGCAGGACCAGCTGGGAACCACTGATCTAAAATGATAGATGTCATAAGATGTCACTGGTGTAAAATATTTACTCAAGTACTGTAGCTACTACTGTACTTATATTTTGACTCCACTGCATTTCAGGAGGAAATATTGTACTCTTGCCTCACTACATTTATTTCACAGCTGTACTGGTTACTTTTTGTTTTATTAAGTTACGCATAAAAACATTAAATTAACTTTTTGGGTTATTTACAAAAAACATGTTTCCTTTCTAATGTCTTAGATGTCAATGAGTTGTTATCAGTTCCACCGAAAGACATTTCTCCAACTTCACATTGTTTTATCTCAGTGACTGTTCAAAAGATCAATATTTCACTAAAAATCCAGAAAGTGAAAACAGGTTTGTGTATCAGCACTTAAGCTCCTTTCCCACTGCGCACAATCCCCACTAATACCCACTAACATCTGGCTTTTGTATATAATGGGAAAGGTTACAATTGGCATTCACTCTGGGTCAAATGACTCTGTTGCAGTCATGGGTATTTATCTACTCCAGCTTGGGTAGGCTGTGATGGATCAATTGGCAGTGATGGAAATGCTACAACATTTGGCAGTGCAATGAAAATACTAACACATTCTCGCATGACCTCGTCACATATTAACGTTTGGTCATGGACTTTACATGACGATATATATGATGTGCAAGGTACCCTGGGTGTGTTGGTTGTTGACGTTCTGGGACACCATGTCAAGTTCTGCCTGTTACATGCATTGTCTGTTTTCAAAATACACTTATACAAATACACTGTTTGCATACAGTCTCTTTCAAAATAAAAGCACTACGTCAGCACTGCAAATTGAATTTTTTTTTTTCTTAAACAACAAACACACGTGGTTACATTTTGCCAACACAAGTGGTTGGGTTGAGGAAAAAAACAGGGTTTGGCTTTACTATCTTACAGGAAGTGAACACCAGTTTCCCGGGTGAAAGTAGGTGGTTGTGGGACCCATCCACCACCTCTCCTGCCCAATTTACTCGGACGTTCGCTGCCTTAACTGTTGTTGTTGTCCCGCCATATTTCCGTTAAACAATAATGGGCGACCAGCCGTCTGTCACGCCAACGTGAAAGGACAGCTTTTTTCGTTGATGTCTAACGCTTGAGGTCACTGACCAAGTGCCGGTTTTCAACGCCTTCAGAGTGAAACTGGGTTGAAAATACCATCCCTCTGTCGAAGCAGCACTTGAACATCCATCCTAATTAGTCTGCACCAAATTTGAGAAAGAGACTGAATATGTAACTGATATATGAAAGAAATAACGGCAAAAACATTTTCACAGGCCTCCATGCTGCTTTCTACTGTTTACTCACCAGTTTTCCGGCCAACAATAAATGTGACACACCAGAAGAAAAAATAAACCAAAAACCGGTGTACAGAGCGGTGTACTCTGCTCTGGTCTGGTGGCAATGGGAAATGAGTCTATAGCCTATTTTTAGTGGACACACATGCTTATTTTGGTGGACAAGTGATATTAATCTTCTTTCCTCTCCCATTAATCATGTGATAACCCCTCAGCTTTATCTGGTGACCCTTTGGAGGCGCCTGACCCCTCTATTGGGAACCACTGGAGTAGACAAAAATAGCTGACTGTATGTAAAGTAATTTAAAGTGTCCTGAGATAACTCTATTTAAGTAAAATTGTCTTGACTCTAGTATCGAAGCAGCAAAGAGTTCCCTCTGTGGGGTGACTGGGCTCAGCCTTAGAGATAGGGTAAGGAGCACAGACATCCAGAGGGAGCTTGGAGTAGAGCTGCTGTTCCTTCGCGTCGAAAGGGGTCAGTTGAGGTTGTTTGGGCATCTGATTAGGCTGTCCCCTGGGTGCCTCTCATTCGAGGTGTTCCGGGCACATCCCACTGGTAGGAGGCCCCGGGGCAGACCCAGGACATGCTGGAGGGATTACATATCTCATCTGGCCTGGCAACGCCTTGAGGTCCCCCGGGAGGAGGTGGAAATTGTTGCTGGGGAGAGGGACGTCTAGGGTGATTTGCTTGGCCTGCTGCCCCCACGAACCGGCCCCGGATAAACAGATGAAAATGGATGGATGGATCTAACATTGATAATAATCTAATAATGTACTTTTGTATGTAACAGAGTGTTTTTAAATTGTACTTTTCCTGAAGTAAAAGGTTTGACTACTTCTTTCACCACTGCTGGAAGAATTTCCTGCGTTGAGTTCAAGTGCTGATCCTATTTATAGAGCACAAGATTTATTATTCATGTTTTGTGTCTTTATATTTTTGGGTTTCCTTCTAGATGCCACAGCTGAGGTTATGTGAGGAAACTGTCATCCTGCTAATATTGTTCTTTAAATTGGTTCAAATGAATGACAGAGAGAGACATGCAAAATATATACACATAGGATATATAGACAAATATGAGACAGAAAATATATATAGCTGTTCCACATATGAATATATTCATATATTTTAAGGCACAAAAAAAGCTAAGTATGGATTGTAAATGTATGTTGATCAACATTTGGTCCTAATTTGAGTGTTGCTATTGTTTTGAAATCCCTCTGTATTGTCATTTTTAGTCCTCACTTTCCTTTGTTTATGTGTTGCTTTTTATTCACATGTCAAACCAGCTGACAGTGATACTGAGAGAGAGGAATAACTGTCCGTGTCAGGTTGCTGGTTTAAATCCCTCTGCAGGTCACATCAGTGCAAAGCAGCCGCACGGCGCCCTCTTACAGCTCAACATGGAACTGCAGGAGAGGCGATGAGACAGGTTGTAAAAACACAGGCTGAAAATACCAAGGTGACGATTGTTTTACAGCTGATGGCATGTCATACACTCTGATTACAAAAGCTAGAGAGAAATAAAATAGAACAAGTCTCATCATTAGAAGATGAACATGTCGAAAATGTTTTTCTGTATGAGTTACATGTTAGTTAAAACAGGGTTCATTATCACTCTGAACAATAATGCTCTTATCTTAAAACCAGTAAATGGGACATTTTAATATAGCTTTACATTGACTGTTAGAGTGTTATTAAGTTCATTCACTGATTTTCCGTAAATGCTTATCTTGGAGCCTATCCCAGCTGACATTGGGCGAGAACGTGCCCTAAATCAGTTTTCACTCTTTAACCTGGAAGAACTTAACTTAGCAGCTCTCCATTGTTTAAATTGGAGAAAGTGAACTGTCAGGCAGTCAGTGTCCAGTGTTGTGAAAACTCTGACGGCATTTAATTTAGACATTTAATTAAACTTTTTTTTTAAAAAAAAAACTACAGTCTGAAAAACTGTTACTGCAAAATGCAATGTTATTCTTATTCAAATATTTAGATAAAAAAAATAAACCGATGAAAAAGATGAATGTCGCATGTGATGTTTAATGATATAATACTGCTGTATATGTAAGTAGATCAACCTCAGGTGTGTGTGTGTGTGTGTGTGTGTGTGTGTGTGTGTGTGTGTGTGCCTTAAAAAGCTCAGCTCAGTAATAATTCAAAGGAACTTTATCTGGCTGAGATAAAGAGGGGAACATCTCCATGGCGACAACCCCCCAGGCCTAAACACACACACACACACATTTCGTGCTGGGTGTTAGACTGAGTGTATGAATGAGTGAGTGTAAAGTTATCATCAGAGGCGCAGCATGCACAGGTCCTACCAGCCGCTAAAGCCTGTCACCAACCGCTACCTGCAGCAGAGATGGGACCAAAACAACTACGACAACCACCGCAGGAAGGTAGGAGGATGGAGATGAAGGTGGAGGATGGAGAGGAAGGTAGGAGGAGTGGTTGGTGGAGGACAGCTGGTCCTGCAGACTCATGTGTCAGTAGTCAAAGACTCATCTTCCATTAGAAAAAGAGTGTTGAGTTGGAAGAACTGATGAAGGAGCAGATGGTTGGAGATGAACAGCTGGTGAAGCGGTGGTTGGAGGTTGTTAGTTATAGTATCGGACTTGTGGGTTGGAAATGAAGTTGCAGTGTAAGAGTGGTGTGTTTTAGATAGAGGATTGGTCGATGAGTGTACGGCAGGCTGCAGATGGATTAGTGGTGGGAGACTGGTTGGTTATGGTAATGGACCAGTGGGTTAAAATAGACACAATGTTGGATTGGAGGAGGAGAGCTGAAGAGTTGATGGTTTAGAGGGTTAAATTTACAAAAAAGTGTGTATTGGATGATCCAATATCTAATTCTTAATGTAATCACAGGAAGTACAGAACAAAGAAACGGAAAATACACAGTATACTTGTTCTAGTAATTCGTCAAGCTTATTAAATTGTTTTTTGGCCACTTGGGGGCAGCGACACAAATTAAACACAATATTTGACATAATATCACTTTATAACTATTACTCCTACTCCTCCTCTTACTACTAATAATAACAATAATAATGTTGTGGTAAACATGTTGGCAAACACTTTCTTACTTAAACCTCCAGCAGTTACAGAGACCAACATGTTGGCATCAAGTTTGGCCTGAAATCAAAGTGCTGATATTAGTTTTGAATATTGTCATTAAAGACAGAAGATGAAGTTCTATCTGTCTAGCACCATCTCAACATTCATGGTGTTGCTTTGTTAGATTTTTATTTCACAGAGAATCCCATTAGCCTCTTGAGCTAAGTGAAAAATAGTTGAATTTTTGTAACACCTGGGGTCCCCTGACATGAGGTCTGAGGTTAGAGCTTCTGGTATTTTGTGATGAGTAACCTACCATAAATGACACAAACAGTCCCGTGGTCAGATTTGAACATATTAGAATAGTGTTGGGTATGTCCAAACTGGCAACTGAAGTTCATTGAAAAAACAGTAAAATAAAAAGCAGAGTGTACATATTATCTGTAATTTTACTTTGAGGTTTGAGTCGCTCCAAATCCTTGCTACACTGACCTGTGTTTACCTGTCCAGGTGTGCTCCGCTCTGCCAGTGGTGGACAACAAAGGAATGAGGACGCCAGCTCACATCCACCTCAAGCTCAAAAAACTACAGGTCAGTGGACACACACACACACACACACACACATTCAAAAGTTGCCTTTTAACCGTATGTCCCGTAGTCCACCAGTTTATAATCAGAGCAGTGTCGAAGATGTTTGACTGACAGAGAGAGGGTTCAGTCTGTTTTAACTATTTGTTTCTGTGATTCAGCTGCAGGACGAGCGGCTGTCCATCATCGACAGAGACAACCGTCTCCTGGCCTCCAAACTGGCCAACATTGTTTGCTCTAAAGGACTGGTGGACCATCACAACCAGTACCACCTGAGGAGGTGAGAGCCTGCTGACACAGAACACACAACATGCTCATGTCATGGTTTGTCACCAGAGCTGCCCCTGACCAAACTAGGGCCCTAAGCGAAATTTTATTTGGAGGCCCCCCCCCCCCCCTCTCCCCATCCCAAATGTATCATAGGTACAAAATGACCGTACAACAACATGCCATTTAACTTGACAACCTTTATTAGCAATAACAAATGTACTACTGCTACCGCTATTAGTACTGGTCTGGTAGCACTACTACTACTTCTACTAATATTAACAAAAAACTACTACTACTATTGCTATCTATTATTACATTATTATTATTATTATTGTCATCATTATTGTATTATTATTATTATTATTATTATTATTAACATCATTATTAACATCATTATTGTTGTATTATTATTATTATTATTATTATTATTATTATGTACAGACTACAGTCCTAAGAAAACATACTAATTCAGGATCAAACAGACTGATATTTCAAACTTTACAGTCAAGTTTAGTTCCCTCTGTCAACAAATGCATCAGTTACACACTCATTTCAATCAGTATTTCCCTGTCTTCTCAAAAGCTGACTGTTATAAATCAAATTCATCAACAGATGGCGACATTTACCTCCATATAAATCGTCGAAAACTTAAATTAACAATATAAATTGATAGGCTATAAACTTTAGCTAATATATATTGGCTAAAGTTTATAGCCTATCAACCAACTGGTCATTTTACCACTCCTTTTCATCAAAGGTGAATGCATAGGGCGTTAACAAGACATTCAATAAATGTTAATCAGGGCCGCTGGAAAAAAAAAAATTTCTCCAGTCTAGACAGAGATTCCTATCTAATGAGTAGCAGCTTAGGTGTTTGTGCCACAAAGTTTTATTTCAACAACATACCCACCTTCAAGTGAAGCACGAGCTTCCTCTTGTTTTGCCTTCTTTTCCCTCTTGCTCGCTCCTGACTCGTGATGTCTTTTGGACAACATGTCGACAACTCTTCACCTGCTGCAGCTCTGCAAGTGCCTGCTGGCGTACCCCTCTGATTGGTCAGATATCGAGTGCTGTCAATCAATCAAGACAATAAATAGTTAAAAACAGTGCAGAAAATGCATTTAAAAAGCAAACATAAAGCAAAAGCAACAGCAGACAAATATAAAAACAATAGCTACAGATTATCCTAACAATAAGTTACATATCTAGTTCACTGGTAAGCTGCAGTAAATAGTAGTGTTTTAAGCCCTGATTTAAATGAGCTGACAGTTTCAGCCAACCTCAGATATTCTGGAAGTTTGTTCCACAGACGGGGAGCATAGAAACTAAAGGCTGCTTCACTTTGTTTGGTTTTGATCCTGGGAACACTGAGTAAACCTGTTCCAGATGATCTGAGGGGTCTGGATGCTTCATAACGTACAAGTAAATCAGAGATGTATTTAGGCCCGAGACCATTTAGTGCTTTATAGACAAGTAACAAGATTTTAAAGTCTATCCTTTGACACACAGGAAGCCAGTGCAGTGACTTAAGCACTGGTGTAATGTGCTCCACTCTCTTGGTGTTGGTGAGGACTCTGGCAGCAGCGTTCTGGACGAGCTGCAGTTGTCTGATTGATTTTTTACTCAGGCCTGTGAAGACACCGTTACAATAGTCCAGCCTGCTGAAAATGAAAGCATGAACAAGTTTTTCTGTATCTTGTTTAGACAAAAATTCTTTTATTCTTGCTATGTTTTTAAGGTGGTAGTAGGCTGATTTAGTAATTGTCTTAATGTGACTATTGAAATTTAGGTCTGAGTCCAGAACTACACCAAGATTTCTGGCTTGATTTGTAGGTTTTAGTGTCATGGCGTCAAGGTGAGCGCTGACTATTGATCTTTGCTCTTTGGGGCCAAAAACAACTATCTCAGTTTTGTCTGTGTTTAGTTGTAGAAAATTCTGGCACATCCACGTATTGATTTTGTCAATGCACTTATTTAGCAGATGTAGGGGACTGTAGTCATCTGGTGACACTGTTAGGTAAAGTTGTGTGTCATCTGCATAAGTATGGTAGGAGATGTTATGATATTCCATAATCTGAGCAAGAGGGAGCATATAGATGTTGAACAGAAGAGGCCCAAGAATGGACCCTTGAGGAACTCCATATGTTAATAATTTTTGTTCTCACAGATTCATAATTGCCAAGTGACACAAAGAAATCCCTGTCTTGTAAATAAGATTTAAACCAATTTAGCACAGTGCCAGAAAGTCCCACAAACTTTTCTAGTCTGTCGAGCAGTATCTTATGGTCAACTGTGTCGAATGCAGCACTGAGGTCCAGTAATACCAGAACCGAAATCTTTGATGCATCACTGCTCAGATGAATGTCATTTAAAACTTTTACAAGTGCAGTCTCAGTGCTGTGATGTGCTCAAAATCCAGACTGAAAGGCATCAAAGGAATTGTTTTGCTCCAAGAAGGTGTTAAGTTGCTGAAAAACAACCTTTTCAATGATCTTTCCTAAAAATGGTAGGTTTGATATGGGCCTGTATTTATTTATTACTGAGGCATCCAGATTAGGCTTTTTTAAGAGAGGTAAAGTATGGTGGCAGTATGCAAGCTCAAAAGCAATGGTTGCAATCTGCCATAAATCAGACAGAAAATACAACCTTGTCTCAGTCTCATAAACTGGTAATAAAAAAAAAAATCAAAGAACAAATAATGTGTTTAATGCACAACATTGCTTGGAGGCAGGCCCCCAGACCCCCTCTGAAAATGTGTCCCCCCAAATGTAAAAAAACAACCTGTACCCCTTGTTTGTATGCTGCCATGGTGACCTTCCCTCACAGTGTTTTCCTCCACTGAGGTCTTTAACATTGCCGTGATGATGCCAGTGCACCTTGTTGGACCTTTTAAATAATGGATATGACCAGTCCTGCTCTGTTACGCTGTTGAATTATTGATCTGGATGTAAATGTGTGACGGCGGTGACAGTCTCTGGTATTTATGTGCCCTCACACTGACTGGGCTGTAAAATCTTTAATCTTGACAGGAGCTGTAAAGCTTCTCTGAAACCTTTTATTCTGGGACTCAGAGAGACGGGAAGTGACTATAAATCCACTTTGACGGCCAGGAACAAAGCAGTCACTTCTAATTAGTAAAAGAAAGTGTTGGATTGGTTGTTGGACAATAAGACAAGTGATCATCACGTTTAAAGTTGTTATCTTGAACTTGTTATTTAACAGATTTGAACATCTGCAGTTCAAGATCAACCTGATGATTAATCAGTGTTTGTGTCGCCTGATTAATATGAGTCCAATAATGTCTCTCTTTTAGCTCTGTTTTTGGCCTCCACCATCTCCTGAGGACAATGTCTGTGTCTTTAGCTGCCAAATTCATATGGAGTTTTATTCCTGTCTTTATTCAAGAGCATGTTTTTTCAATTTGAGAGCAAGATTTATTGATTTCACTTGCAGACTTTGTTTTCTTTCCCTAAAAACCCTTCCCTTGCACTCAAATAACCCCTGCTTTTACTTAAAGTTGCTCTGCATCTGCTCAAACTTTATGCTTTCACTCAGCTATATTGTTGTTTTTATGGATTTCCTGCGCTCCAGCTTGAACTCTACTCATCACTCTGAAGCTTCTTCTGCGTGCCTGCGAATGATCTGCTCTGCTCTTGGATTTTTTTGTACAACAACCTTGTCAAAATCCCCCAACCAACAGAATGTCAGGTGTAGTGTTGACCCATGAAATGATCTTTGCCTTGTTGCGGGTGCGTTTATGTCTTATGGCCAAAATACACGGGACATGGGCACGGTGTGACACATCAGCCTCAGCACGGCAATAGACTGTGACCATTTTAATCAACTGAAGCTGCAACACTGAACACAGAAGCCACACCTGCCCATGTGGGCACCCAGCTACTCAACTCTATTTTTGCGCAGCTGGTCTATTTTACCTCGTCTGCAGCCTTCCAACAGATAAAAACTATACAGAACTTTGTAAAAAATTAGCAGAATCTGTTTAAAAATGATAAAAATGAACTGTACCAGAGGCAAGGTAATGCAGCAGAGCAACGTGTGTTTTTATGCTACTAATAAATCAGTCCCTATGTTGATCATTTCTCTGATTAAAAAGAACTTGTTCATCTAGTTTTAACACACTGTGAATCTGCATAATTTTTTTCTGCTAAAAAATGGTTCTACATTAAATACAGTCAGATCGTTATTATGACTTGTTCAGCTGTTCATATGTCTTTTTAATTAAATATTTCATAAAACATGTCACGTACCTGGCAGGTCCTGTTTCTGTCCCGGTAATGTTCCAAGCGAATATTCCAAACAACTAGATGCTGAGGAAAGTTAGCCTCTCCCCCACAGCTACAGGTAGTTTCTATTAGATTTCTATCCATCCATAAAGAAATGCACTTCCTTGCGTTGGACACTAGAGCCATCATCTGTATATTTACAGATCTATGGACACCAGGCACATACATAAGTGGAAATGAGGTGTGGATATACAGCCACGTCTGTACCCCATGTTTTCTGGCCGTTAGAGCGTCCCCTACAGACAGTTACTCTTTAACTAGGTTCATCCTCTCCTGCCCTCCAAGGCTTCATTAAATGAACTTCCCTTGTTTTCTTTAAAACTTTTAGCATGAAAGTACAGTGAATAAACATGCTAATGCCCTTAATTTTTTTTACTATGACAGCTAGCTACATTTAGTATAATAGTAGCTGTAAAGCATATTGACTTCCTGTCACTGTGCTAGAGGACAAAACAAAGACACCTGCAAGACTCCACAATGAGTTACAGCAGCAGGACTTCAACTAGCAGTGTTGACAATAGGACATATGTGACCATTAACAGTAGCATTTTAAACACATAGTTAACAGTGTGAAACTTGGTCAGGTTTAGGCATCAAAACTACTTTGGTAGGTTTAAGAAAAGATCGTAGTTAAAATAAGAACGTTTGTTATAGAACTTAAGTTACGTACATAACATAAATTAAGTGTGTAACGTAAGTTATTCTACGTTCAAGTAAATTAGTTGGTAAAGCTGACTTTTGGTTTAGTATAAACACACACAGCTGTCTCCTGGGTCTAAGTCCTGTGTTTGTTTTTATTTTGTTTATACTTCATCATCTGACTTCCTTCTTTGCTCCCGTCATAATTACTACGGCCACTAGAGGTCACTGCCTAACAAAAGTTAATATGGGTTGGAATAATCTGCTTATATAAATGATCTATGTGGTTATATTTTGGGGGGAAGACATTTTGGGTTTCCATCAAAGTGCATTTCAGGTAAATGCATGTGTCAATTTGGTCGTCCATTTCCCTTCCTCCTCTACTTCCTCTTCCTTTCTTTCTCAGTCTGAATGCAGAGAAGAGGAGGGAGGAGCTTCTACAGGTGAGCCGTCAGAATCAGGCCATCTACCAGCGAATCACGTCTCGCCAGTCAGAGTACCGCCGCCAGCTGTGGTTGGACGAGTGGGAGAGGGCGGAGCGCCGGCGGAACGACATATCCCGATACCCCCAAGGGCTCGGTGAGAAACAGGTGAGTCCAAACAGGAAGACACAAACATTAGACCTAAAAATCTAACTTTGTAGAGATACATGAGGGGTAAACCGTTTTCTAAATCTCCAGTAAAACATAATCTACTGACTAAGATTTAAATTATGAAAACTGATTTCATAATTCATAAAACTGGTTCTCCTCCTGCTCAGTTTTTCTTCTCAACAAAATGCACCACACAGTGTCAGGAAGCAGCGAGAGATACTTTTAAAAGATGAGCTGTAACTGAGATGAGAGACGCCCGCTGGACTGAGTGGATGCTGAAGTGGCTCCCACTGATTCACAAAAAGCCTTTCGAGTAATAAACGCAGTGAATCAATCTCTGTCCACAGCGCTCCTCCTGCAGCCTGATTGTTGTGTGTCAACGCTAATGGACACGGAGCTGCTTGTTATCTCAGTGTAATCATGTGTTGCATTTTTGTGTCCACAGAGGTCTCACAGGAAGGTGAAGTTTGCGGCCGTGGAGGGCAGCGAGCGGACGACGAGCTGCAGCAACACCGACACCGACAGGACCGAAAGAGAAACCTGAGACACAAACACACAACAAACCGACAAACTATCCTCAGCTCACTGCTTTAATCAAGAATGACCCTAAATTTGGCATGAAAAAAACAACTACTTCAAGGGTGGTCAAACATGTGTCATGGAGTGCTAATGAGTGGACTGTCGGCTCTCCATGACACATGATTTTCCCTCTCTGGACTGTGGCATCAGTTAGGAGCATGGTTATAACAGTAAGTTACCATTCAAACATGTTAAAATGCAAACATGCTTCAACATTATGTGTAAATCTGTTCTCTACATACTATCAGCATGTTAAGACGCTGTTATCTTAATGTTTTATCAACACGTTCGCCACATATTGACGTTTGGTCATGGACCCTCCACTTCCAGATATGACATGAAAGGTACCCTGGGTGTGTTGGGTGTTGATGTTCTAGGACGCCGTGTAAAGTTCTGCCTGTTAAATGTATTCTCTTCTTTCAAAATACACTTCTGTTTTCACAGGAAATTTAACGTTTACATACAGTCTTTTTCAAAATAAAAGCACTACATCAGTACAACAACGCAAATCAACATTCTTTTTCCTCCAACAACTAACGCCCATGGTTAGGGTTAGGAAAAATGAACAGGGTTTGGCTTTAGAATCTTACAGAATGCGAACACCGCACTCTTGAGTGAAGGTCTGTGTTTGTTGGACCCATCGCCACGCTTCCTACCCGCCTGCCCCATTCGGACTTTCGCCACCTCAACTTTTGTCCTTGTCCTGTTGCGTTTCCCCCTGACACCGCCGGGTGCCGTTAACTGTAATAGCAAGCAGCTGTGTGTCATGCCGACATTAAAGGACACCTTTTTTCCTTGGTTTCTGATGCTGCCCAAGCGCCGGATTTCAATGACTTCGGAGTGAGACCAGGCTCGTATTTTACCACCTTGCGTCTCTCTTATGCTCTTTGCTCAGTCTTCGCCCTCTGCCCGCCTGTTTGGTGCAGACTGTCTCAACATCTATCAGATTGATTGTAAAATTATTATAAAATTTTGTTCAAACGTGCATGTTCCCCTGAGGATGGATCCTACGGACTTTGGAGATCCTCTGACTTTTCCTCTAGCAAAACCATGAGGTTGATATTTGTGTTTTCTAATGAGATGTCTCAACAACTCATTCATGTTCCCCTCAGGATGAACTTTAATAACTTTAATAATCCTCTGACCTTTTATTTAGTGCCATCATCAGGTCGTAGTTTAATGTGTCCAATACTTTGGTTTATGACCAAATACCTGCAGAACTAAAGAAATTCACATCAGTCTTTGCTGTGTTTACTGATAATTAGCTAATGTAGGCATGCTAATGTTAGCATTTAGCCTAAAGCACCACTGGTATGGCAAGGTAAGGTAGGGTAAGGTGAGGTGAGGTGAGGTGAGGAGATGAGGGGATGTAAGGTAAGATAAACTTTGATGTCCCTGAGGGGCCATTTGAGATACAGCAAGTAGTCTTGGGTGTACCAAAACAGACAGTATAATACATAACACACAGTATCCAGTATCACACTGTCAGGGGTAAATCATGGACATTAATGGTCGCTGCTGCTTAAGATAGGTGATAGCTGACTGGACAAAGTATCTGTAACACTTTATGCTGCATTTAGGGAGGCTAAACCTCTGCCCCGATGGAAGCATCTGAAACTGAATATGGAAGGGATGTTGAGAGTCTGGGACAACTGACCGAGCTCGAGAGGTTGCTCTCTCTTCATATGGATGCTGTAGGTTATTAAACGTAACACCAGTGATCTTACAGCAGAACTTGACCACTTTTCCCAACTTGTTCTTGATTCCAGCAGACAGTGTTAAAAGAAAGAACAGACTCGATAAAAGCAGAATAGAACGTTTTTATTTTCTTGACTACATCAAAACTCTTGAGCTTTCTTAAAAAGAATAAGTGTTGGTTTGTCTCACAGATGCCTGTAGGCTCTTAATTTCTTTGCTAACTATTTAAAAAACCTAAAGTTCTCTAACATATCTAAACTTTGCAGGTTTTTGCACCACTAGTTTTAAAGATTTAAGAAGAGAAAAGACATCTCTTCAATTTTTAATCTATCGAACTATTTTGGATGAAGCATGCTGTAATGTTTTGTGTCTTGTAGTCTTGAGTTTTGTCTCTTGTGTCTCGTTTTATGTTTATTGAAACCCAATAAAAAGCTCCTGGATAACTGACTCTGAATAAAACTTTTATCACATTCTGGTTTTTGGGGCCACTTTGTTATTGCTCTCACCACTTGTACTGTCACTCACAGAGGGGTCTACTCTTGTTGAGTATCTTTTTCTGTTATGTTTTGCACTGCTATGCTTTTATTTTATCAAGGGTCCAGTGTGTAGGATTTAGGGTGATAAATGGGAAGAAATGCAATATTATATAATAAGTGTGTTTTATTTAGTGTGTAATCACCTAAAAATAAGAGTTGTGGTGTGTTTGTTACCTTAGAATGAGATGTTTATTTCTACATAGGGAGCTGATCCTAGTTTATGGAGACTTTGGAACTGCTGTTTTGAAAAGTGCTACATAAAAAAGTTATTATAATTACTATTTTTCCTTTCCAAACATGAATCTTGTCTTATAATCTTAGGATTAGAGAGTGATCGGTCAAGAGATTGGTCCAATTTTCCTAGCCCCTTTATAATGATCTTGTACAAAACTGGGACTCAGTTGCAGAGAAGAACACAAAACTCCTTGAACAACTCCTTAAATCAATTCCAAAACTTTACTCAGGAGGTCAGGGGTCAAACATGTGAAGGCAGTCAGCGAAGGCAGAAAGGCCCATTCAGGGAAATCACACAAAAAGCAAAGTCCATAAATCCAAGCAGAGTCAAAAAGCAAGGAATCAAACATAAAGAAAAGGCTGGAGAACATGAACACATTAAGGTGACAATGACAATCTGGCGACTGAATGGTGGAAAATGGGCTTTAAATACACAAGTGCTAATTACTAACTACACATTGGTGAGTGGAACAAGACACAGGTGACACACATGAGGAAATTAGCAAAGGCGAGAAAACTGAGGAGGTAATGGTGTGTTCGTTTTGTACTTGGAGGTCGGGGAAGTGGGAATGACGTCACCTCCGAGCTGACAACAGTTTTTGGTGGACAAGTCGGTAAAAAACATGGATGCCCGCAAGAAAGCCTTTGTTGAGTACAGTACAGCTTCAAAACCATCATGCACTCCAACTGATGAACGCTGCAGATGAGACTGACCTAATGTAAAACTAATAAGAATTAGCAGAGTGTTTACTCACTATGTATGTGACCGGCAGCCATCTTGAATTCATAAATGGGGGTTGATGCGGTTGCTCCAAGTTTTCAAGTTGGAAATCCAATCTCAGGGTGCGTTCGAGTTTAAACTTCTGACTGGGAACTGGGAATTTCCGACCTCCGAGTACAAAACGAACACACCATAAAAGAACACTAAACAGAATGAGAACACTTTTTTAAAATAAAACAGGATGTGGAATATCGCTCCCTTTAATTCTTAAATTCACAGTTCTCATTTAACTCTGCGCATGGTGTACTTTTGTAGTCTCTTTTAAAGAACACAGAAATGATTTCAAACCTACTGAATATATTTTTGCAATGAACATACAAGACAATTTCAGACATGCTCCTCATGTCAGCTCTCCTCTGCTCTGCTGTTTGTCCACAAGGTGGCAGTAACTCCATGTTTTTGTCCTCTGGTAAATGAAGTGTTGAAGTGGTGACTGAGACGGAGGGAGACAGCGGAGATAAATGTCAGCTCTTACAGGAGCAGAAGAGCGTGTCTGTACTTCCAAACGAGAAGAGTCCTTCAGTTCGTTTGGTTTCTATTATCAGAATCTCATTAAACACAAGAGGCTGAGAAAATGAGCAATCTGCAGAGATTCAGACTGACACAAAAAGAGGGCCTTTTATTATAGTTATTAACTAGGGTACTTTTCCACTCTTTACTTTAGTAGCAGAAACAGTCTGGTGTCACTTTAAAGTATTTTATGTGACATATTCAGAGCAGTTTTGTCATATTCCAACTAAAAAGGAAAAAATAAAAAAATGATGGGTGAAGTCATGGTGGCTACGTCCCTTATGTTTATACTGTTTAAGATAAGTAGTTAAAATGTGACTAATATGACTCAAATCAATGCTTAAGTTTTTCTCACTGCTTAATTTAAGCACGCGATATATTTTGTAGTCACTACAAGATGAACCAGAAGATGTAAATATAAAATTCCAGTCGGTAACAAACATGAGTCACTTCCCACATTGTGTCCCACTCAAATGTGTTCAAAATGCTGTTTCACTGTGACGACTCTTTACAAGAAAACAGAGCCACTAATTGCAGAAAATTTAATGAATCATGTCTCGTCTTAAATCTCATTAAATCAGAAAGTAGTGGGTGCTGCTAGTGTGAGAGAGTAAATATGTGTGCAGTGGAAAAGCCCTTTAACCACGTCAGTCTGTCCTGATGCTGAGCCTCACTGGAAGTGTCCTCGGGCCAGGACACCGACCATCTGGGAACAGTTAACCAGCGTCTGTAACTGTAAACCAGAGCAGCTCCCCCGGCACCAAACCAAATGCTGTACTAACAACTATTATTCTACTTCTTTCTCTTCCATAGATTAACTTGTGATATATGAAAGAGCTCTGTCACCACACATGCAGATATGTATATACTGTATGTAACGCTTGCATCTGTTCCATGTGTCCTTTAAAACATACAGACAACAGTGTTATTGGTTTATAGGAGAGCAGTCGTCCTTCCCTGTTTTACTACGTTTCACTTTATTAAGATCAGAGGGAGCAGCACACAGACCTGCTCCACCAGCTTTATTAGTGCCAACACACTGAAGTACAAAGGAACAATACGCTAACAACAATAACAAGCTTCATTCTGAACACAAACTGGGAGGAATATCTCTCTACAGGATCTAATAATAATGTTATGTCAGCTGCATGTTTGAAACTACACATTTATTTTAAATCTATTTCTGTGGTTGTCAGTTATTTTACATGTGAATTTGGGAGGTAAAATTTTACCTGATGTCATTTATTTTATTGTATTTTTGTAGTTTCATCGATCGTTTCTACCAGTATAACAGCATGTTTTCTCACCAAGTTAATTGTGGGGATCTGGGAAGACAAACTTTGAGGGGAAAGTGGAAGAGATGCAGCAGAATGTGACTTTTGCAGCTTTGTTGTTGGCAAAGTAATGGCTGTTACACATCAGGATGAAAAGTGAAATGAAATACAGAATATTTGTTGTTTTTCAGGTTCAAACCCTTTATACTAACACCAACTTGGATGTTTGTGTTCTGTACATTCCACTGAAAATTAAAAGGTTTGCAACGCAGCACAATCCTCGATTGATGGTGATGATGTTCAAGTTGTAATTCATCATCTTTTGGCTCAAAAGAGGAGAAAATACTCGGCACACCCATTATTACAGAAGAGGAGCAAAGCAGTGAGTATCATTGCCTGGTACAGCAGTTTAAAATGTACCACAGGTGTTTCAGGGATCACCAG